TGACGGGCCACAGCCACACCCCGCCTGCAGCCCGGCCCAGTCCTCCTCCTGCTGGTGCCCCAGGGCAGCCGGCCACTGTCCCAGGCAGTGGGGCCCCCCTCCCCGGCCTGCGCTGAGCTGCTGAGCTACCTCCTTCCCTGTTGGTCCTTCACTCCTCCATGACCATGGCCAGAGGTCCTCCCGACACCCGGCCCCGGGGACATGGGACAGGGAGGAGTCACGGGCAGGGCCCACCTGAGGGCTGTGACTTGGGTCGCCATGCCCTCGTCCCAGGTGGCTTTCTTCTCCGGGAGCCGCTGGGGAAGCCAGCCTCAACCCAGCCAGCCCCAGAGGCAGCCTCTGCCCCTTGGGAACACCGGGGAGGCTGCTCTCCAGGCCGGCAAGTGACCCACTCTGTCCTTGAGGCATGAGTGTGACACAGGAAGGGCTGGTGACAAAACCCTGGCTGGCCCCAGCAGGAGGTGTGGGTTCCCACCCTGCTTCCTGTCTGCCTGGACGCTGGCCGCTGGACTCCTGAGCGGCCTCCTCATTCTCAAGGCCCTCGGCCTCTGAGCTCAGAGCAGCACGGTGGGCGCTCAGCAGCAGGATCTGGGTTAGACCCCTACCTGCTAAAGCAGATTTGGGGGAGGGTCCTCTCCTGCAGGAGAGTCCAGGACAGGACAGGGTGCTCTAGGGGAGACGTCGGAGATGGCTGCCCCAGGGGTGACCTGGAGGGGGTGAGCCCGTGAGTATGCTGGTGGGCACGTGGGTGACGTAGCCCCAAGTCCCTGCAGACACTGGAGTGAGACCCCTGGGTCAGGGGGAGGGATGTCCAGAGGTGGGCCCCTTGGGGGTGCCGGGGCCGCTGTGGGTGCCCCTGGCTCAGGATTGGGGTGGAGGTGCTGGTTCCACTGGAGCAGCTGGACCCTCGTCCTCAGAGGGGGGCTGGGGACTGGTGACCAAGGCTTGCCGGTCGGTAAGAGACCTCAGGCTCAGGCCTGGAGGGTGGCAGCAGCCCACGTGGGTCACACTTCACAGTGGCCGGCACTGAATGCCAAGTGCTCCACGTCACCTGCTCAGAGCCGGTGAAGGGACTGGAGGCGCATGAGGGACGAGCCAGGAGCACAAGTTTCCACGGAAAATGTCAGCCACAGAGGCGAAGGCCCTGCCGGCGGTCTGTGCTCACAGGCCGCTCGGCCTCCCTGTGCCCCTGGCCCCAGGCATCTGGGAGGCAGCTGTGGGCTGGGAGAGGGAGGGCTTTCCTGCCCTGGGGAACCTGGACCCGCCTGTGGGGAGCGTGCCCAGGGTGCCGGGAGCTGCACGTGCCCGCCCTCGCCGTGAGCCCAGGACTCTCCGCCTCCCGTGTATTTCGACACCAGGTCCCACCCCAGGGCTTGCCAAGAGGACCCACCTGAAGCCCCCTCCCCTGAGGCTTGGGCATGCAGGGCTGGGCCAGGCCTGGACAGTCATGGGGCAGGTGTGGGGCCGGCCCAGGCAGCCACCAGACCTCGAAGGCCAGCAAAGGAGCTGCTCAGGAACCTGGAATGAATGAATGATTGACCTGGAAGATTTCAGGGTGACTCAGACTGCATTTTGAGGGGGGAAAAAAACCAGGCTTGGCCTACTGCAGGCCTCTTGCAGGATTCCCTGACTGTGTGGCCCCGGCCCAGAGTGGCCTCCACCTGAGGTTTGGGAGCAGAACTCAGTTAGAGCCTGGCCGGTGGCCTCTGGCCGCTCCTCTGGCCTCTCTGAGTGCCAGTCTCCACACCTGCAGGGCAGGGACCTTGCTGGGCCAGGATGCAGGGCACCCTGCAGAGATGGAGGATCTGGTGTCTCGAGTGGAAAATCCCCGCACAGAGCCAGCGAGTCTGCCACCTTTTCTGAGTGTTTGGGCTCCAACCCTGCTGTCTCCACACCACCTTGAACTCCCTCACTGGCTTGCTGGGGACGTCCCAGCACCCCACACACCCCAGAGCCGTACATTTCCACTCCCACGGGATCCTGCCCTACGTTCAGGGTGTGGGAATCTCGTGTATTGTGATAACTTTAAAAAAATTAAATCAAATCACCACTTTAACCACCTTAAGTGGGACTTAGGGCTTTGCCATGCAACCATCACTTCTATCTGGCTCAGGAACTTTCCATCACCTCAAATGGAAATTCCACACCTCCTAAGTAGTCACTCCCCTGTCTCTCCTCCCCCAGCCCTGGCAACCACTATTCCACTTCGTCTCTACAGTTTTCCTATTCTGGGCATTTGTTGAGCTTCCTCCACACTGTGCCAAGGGCTCCCTTCCTTTTTATGGCTAAATAATATTCCATGGTATGGATATACCACATTCTGTTTACCCACTCATGTGTAATTGAGCAGTTGGGTTATTTTCACTCCTTGGCGATCGTGAATAGTGCTGCCACGAACATTCATATATAAGGCTTTGTTTAAACACCTGTTTCATTCAATTCTTTTGGCTCTCTGCCCACAAGAAAAATTTCTGGGTAACTCAATGTTTAACTTTAACTCTCTGCCAAACTGCTGTGTGCAGAGGCCACTGGGTTTCCTGCTCCCGCTGCAGTCTGGGAGGGCTCCAGTTTCCCCGGTCCTCGCCAACACTTGTTATCTAGGGTGGTAGCAGTTCCCTCGTGATGAGGGTGGCTGGTCACCCTCAGGTGCTTGGCTGGCCGTTGGTGGGCCTTGCAGGAAGCGTCTCTCTAAGGCCCCTTTGAAGCTGGGGAGTTTGTCTTCTTGCTGTTGAGTTAGGATTTGCCTCTGGAGAGCTTCTGGGGACTCCCTTGTTCATTGGTGGGGTGCTTGCCCACCCCACAGAGGCTCGGGGACCCCACATGGGCCTCTGCTGAGGCCAGGATCAGCCCAGGTTGGCCCTGCCTGCTTGAGGGGCTGGGTGTGGACACAGTCACTGAGGGCTCACTGCTGGCCTCAGTGCTGGGGGCCGAGTTTGGACACAGAGGGGCTGTCCCTGGCTCTGGAAGGGAAGCGGGCTTGCCAGGCAGATCCAGGCAGAGGGCCGGGCAGACACAGCCGGGTGGGAGTGGGACAGCCGGAGGCTCATCGGCGGCCAGACCCCGGCGCCTCTGATTGTAGGTGGAGGGCAACATGGTGGGCGGCGACCCAATCCGATGGGGTGCTGCTGGAGGAGGGAGACCAGGGCTGGGGCCATTGCCATGGGCCTCTGCTGCTCCCAGAGTCCGTTAGGGTCCCCTGGCTGGACTCCAGCAGAGCGGGGGCTTGTGTCCTGAGCCTGTGGGGAGAACTGGGGACGAGAGCATCCTTTAGGTCCAGAACCAGGACCTGGAGCGGCTCCAGCTGAAGGTGGCGGCTGGTGCCCGGCTGGGTTCCCATCCATCTCTGGCGTTTCCAAGGATCTACGGTTACCTTGGGCTGAATTCCCCGGATTCCAGCCCGCTCCCAGCCCCACCCGTCCAGATGCCCTTCCTCTACGCCAGCCTGGGGCGTGTCCGCCCATTGTGCCCGTGGGAGACCCAGGGGGATCTTGGCCAGATTATCCGGTGGGCGGACAGGCGGGGCCAGAGGATTGAGTGTCACCGGCTCGGCTGCAGCACGTGCTGGGGGCTCGGGCCACACGGGGACGTCCAGCTGCTTTGGCGCTCAGTGTCCTGGAAAAACACTGCTCTTCTCTCAAGAACGGGCAGGCCCTGGGGCAGGAGGGCCCACCACCCTAGGGACCGGGCCTGGAGGTGGCCCCCCCCACGCCGGGCCGCGCCCACAGGCCTGGCCTGCTGTTTGGGACGCAGCCCGCCCCACCTGCCGGGCCCTTCTTGAGAACCGAAGTCGGCCCAGCCGCTGTGGAAAACAGCTTGGCAACTCCCCAGAAAAGGAAAGAATCACCACACAGTCCAGCAGCTCCGCTCCTAGGCACCTGCCGGGGAGGCGGAGAACGGGAGCCGAGAGGAAACCTGCTCCGGCCACAGCCGCACCCCACGCCGCGGGTGGAAATCACCGAGTCCCTTTAGGGGAACAGGCGGACGGGATTTGGCCCCTGTGCCTCGGAATAGTATTCAGCCTTAAAAAAGTATGAAACAGGGCCGTGGGCAGCAGTGTGGAGGGAGTTTCAAAGCAGGGTTCTCCGTGGAGGAGCGCTCACAAAAGGGCCGTGTTGTGTGTCCACGGTGACAGGCAGCTGTGAGACCGCCAGGGCCAGGCAGGGGGAGGGAGGGACGGCCGAGGGCACGGAGCTTCCTCTTGGGGTGAAGTCCTGACCACAGGGGATGCTGCACTGAGATGGCCAGTTCTACGTCATGTGACTTCACCTCGGTAAACAAACAGTCTCGCTGCTGACACCCCAAGTGGACAGGGACTGGCAAGAGGCTTCCTGCCGGGAAGGCCAGGAGGTTCCTCACCCAGGTGCCCCCCGAGGAACCAGCACACAGTAGGTGCTCAGTCCACTGCCCTCTGTTTCTGCCCCGAGCAGCTGGTCACCCAGAGGCTGCGGTGGGCCTCCTGGGGGCAGCTTCCTCCTGCGCTCGTCTGGGCCTGTGTGGTGGTGGGGACGGGTGTCTTGGAGGCCTGTTCGGTGGCTGTGGAAACCCAGGCTTGGGCTGCCCCCCGAGGTCACCTGTGGCTGGTGCTGGTGGCCTGGGAGAGGGCCTGCCCAGCAGCCCGCCTGGCAGCCCACGGGGTGCGAGAGGGAGTGGGTGGACGGGGGCGCAGAGGCAGCGCTGCGGCTTGGGGGCCGGGCAGATGTGCTGAGTGGGGGCCATCGAGTCCCAGGAGTGAGGGTCTCTGGCCTGCAGGGTCGGGGTCCCGCTGTCTGATGTCGAGGGGCTGTGATTCTGTGGTTCCTGCCATCTGGAGCCGGGAGGGCCTGGGCGCGGTGCCGTGGCAAGTGGCCCTCGAGGGCAGGGACCTGCTGCTCACTGCTGGGCAGGGCTTGGCACGTGGGAGGTGCTTGGTGAAGACTCACCGCCAGGCTGAGCGGAGGCCGGGTGGGGAGGCAGGTGCCCTTCCCCAGCCTCACGGCCTCCGTCCCCCCTTGCCTCCACAGAGCACTGTCGTCCGTCGTGGCCCTGGGAGCCAACATCATCTGCAACAAGATTCCTGGCTTGGCCCCGCGGCAGCGCGCCATCTGCCAGAGCCGGCCCGATGCCATCATTGTGATCGGGGAGGGGGCGCAGATGGGCATCAACGAGTGCCAGTACCAGTTCCGCTTTGGGCGCTGGAACTGCTCGGCCCTCGGTGAGAAGACCGTCTTTGGACAAGAGCTCCGAGTAGGTAAGGAGGCGGGGCTCGCGGCTGGCCCTGGGCCAGGGGAGGGGCAGTCGCCCACGGCACACCCCATGGTGCTGTCTGCTCACCCTGCCACTGACCATGCTCTGGTGTCCTGTCCCTGAGCCCTTCTCCAGGCCTGGCTTGGTGGGGGGACCCAGGAGGACCCAGACCTGGTCTGTCCCTGGGACACACTGTGTCTGGGGCCGGGGCGGCCTCACGGGCCAGGCTGTGTGTGGGGGAGCTCCTGGGGCGAGGGGAGGACAGGGAGGAGCGGGCAGGTGCTGTGTGCGGCCCCCCAGCCTGGCGGGCCACTTGTCCCCGTGCTTTGGAAAACGGGGTGACGTAGTTTTCTGTGTGAGGTGTGGGGGGGCTGGGGTGCCCTGGCTTGGGCGCAGGGCAGCGATGGCAGAGCAGGGGTGGCGCTGGCTGGGCAGGGGCAGGCCTCTGGTGTGGTGACAGCAGGCAGTCCCCGAACGTGGAAGTCAGAGTGATAGGCCTCTGCTGTCGCACTGTCCGTGGGTCCCCAAGGCCCTTTCCTGCCCCACAGCCCTGGTGGCAGGTTCCCGGTGCCCGTTTCTCAGATAGGGAGACGGAGGGGAGGGAGGGGAGCCCAGAGAGTGGCTCCAGGAAAAAGGGACCTCAGAGCCCGACGGGGATTGAGCCCAGCTGTGTGGCCTTGGCCACCTCACCCCGCGCTCTTGCCTCCTTGGTGACGGGAACTCCAAGCCAGCAGGCCCTCCTGGCTCCCCGGTGCTTCTCCCAGTGATTGCATGCAGTCGGTGCTCAATAAACTGCAGAGGGGTTACTGATTTGACCTGCCCTGCGAGGGTCAGATCTGGGAGCCTGGCCACCATCGGGGCTGCAGCTGCCGGGACCTAGGCCAGAGCGGGCCCTGCTGGGCGGGGAGCGCCAGCGTGGA